TCTATATAAGTATATTTATATTCATATACTGTTCTTTTTAGGTTACAGGTAGCATATTGTAGGGATGCCCAGGTGGCTCAGTCAGTTGAGCTTCTGCCTTCACCTCAGGTCATGATCTCTGGGTCCTGGGATGGAGCCCTGTGTGAGGCTCCCTGCTTAGCGAGGAGTCTGCTTTTCCCTCTCCCTCTGCTCCTACCCCCTGCTTGTGCATGCCTGTACGCTCTCGCTCTCTCCCAAATAAATAAATAAAATCTTTTTTAAAAAAGTGTACTGTATACACTATTTTATGCAAAACTTTTTTCACTTAGCAACACATTCTGGGAATATATAGAGATAGGCTTCATTCCATTTTATAGCTTCGGAATTCAAATGAAATTATTTGTAGTATGCCATGATATGGATGTGCCAGAGTTTAGCCAACCTGTCTCCTGTTGAAGGACATTTGATTGTTTTCAGGCTTTTGTTGTTGCAAATGGCACTTCAGTGAATAGCCTAATGGATGTGTGTTGTGTTATATTTTATTTTCCCCAGTGTATCTAAGAATCCTGGAAGTGGTATTGTTGGGTCAGACAGTAAATATATGATTTCCCTTGATATTGCCAAATTCCCTTTCATAGGTGTTTTTCTGTTTTGCATTCTTCTAATAATGTACAGAATGTTATTTCCCCATATCCATAAAGTTTTAGATTTTTGCCAATCTCATAGATGTGGAATGGTATCTCAGCATAGTTTCAATTTACATATCCCTTGTTATAAATGTGGTTGAGCATTTTCCATTTGTTAAGAGCCATTTGAATATCTTTTTCTGTGAACATTTCATATTCCTTTTTCCATAGAGTTGTTCAGTGTCTACTTTTAGAATCTTTATATAGCAGGAATATTAACCTGTCTTCTTTCCTACTTTATCATGTTTCTTTTTACTTGGCTAATTTTTTCCACACACAAAAATATTTTTATTTATATTTATTTATTTATTTATTTGACAGAGAGAGAAATTATAAGTAGGCAGAGAGGCAGACAGAGAGAGGGGGGAAGCAGGCTCTCTGCTGAGCAGAGAGCCCAATGCGGGGCTCGATCTCAGGACGCTGAGACCATGACCTGAGCTGAAGGCAGAGGCTTAACCCACTGAGCCATACAGGCGCCCCAAAAGTATTTTTATTTTATGTGGTCAAATTGATCAATTTTTTTTCTTATTGTGATGTTTATAGCCTAACATTTTAAAAGACTCTTGTTGGCTGGTGTGTTGGAAAGAGACTGGTGGGAGCAGACCTGGGTGAGGCAAGGGCAGAAACAAGATCAGTTTGAATGTGGTGGTAATAATCCAGCATTGGTAACTGTGGAAGTGGTTCTGATTATATTCTGAAATTTTTGTTAATGGATAGGATGTTGGATGTGTGAGAAAGAGAAGAGTGAAGGTGACTCCCAAGTTTTTGGCCTAGCATGATTCAGTTGCCATTAACTAAGGAGGAGAGGCCTGTGGGAGGGGCAGGTTTGGGGGAAGATTGGTTATGGACATGTAAACTTTGAGATACCTATTGGACATCCAGGTGGAGGTATCAAATAGAAAGTTGAATATGTGAGCCTCTAATTTCAGGGAGTGTTTAGGTCCATGAATAATCCTTTGGGAGCTATCAGCATGTGGAGGATATTTATTTAGGTTTTCCGTTTTTATTTATTTTTTTATTGAGGTATGCTTTCTAGATTCTGAAATGTACAGATATTAAGTATGTAGTTCAATGACTTGTGACAAACATATACACCTGTGTAATCCCAGTCAAGTATAGAGCATTTGTGTACCCCAGAAAGTTCCCTTGTGCCTCTTTCTAGTTAGGCTGCTGCCCAGAGGCAGCTGTTGTTCTAATTTATATTACCACGACTTAGTTTCTCCTCAAGTTGATAATATTTAAAACAGAAGGCTGGATGAAATCACGAAGGGTCTGAATGTGGATAGAGAAAAGAAAAGGTCCAAATACTATGACTTGGGGAATGTCAAAGATTTGAGGGGAAAATGAGGAATTGGCAAGGAAACTAAGAATGAGTAACCTGAAAGATAGCATGAGAGCCAGATGGAGTGGAGTCCTATTAAAAAAACTATTTCAGGGTGCCTGGGTGGCTCAGTGGGTTAAGCCTCTGCCTTTGGCTCAGGTCATGATCTCAGGGTCCTGGGATCAAGTCCCGCATCAGGCTCTCTGCTCCGCAGGGAGCCTGCTTCCTCCTCTCTCTCTCTCTCTGCCTGCCTCTCTGCCTACTTGTGCTCTCTCTGTCAAATAAATAAATAAAATCTGTTTTAAAAAAAAAAAACTTTCAGAAAGGAGTGAGTGATCAACTGTTTCACATGCTGTCACAAGGTCTTGAAAGATGAGGATTCAAAATTTACCGATAGATTTTAGCAACTAGGGGATCATTGGTGACCTTAAAAACTGCTTTAACGGAGTGATAGGGCCCGAGGGCCTGATTGGAGTGGATTTGAGGGAATGGGAGGAGAGGAACTGGATAGTAAGAACATACACAGTCATTTTGAGAAGCAGAAAAATGGCGTCATAAGTGGAAGGGAGTATAAGATCAAAGGAGGGTTTATTTTTATTTACTTATTTATTTGGAAAGATTTGTAGAGAGAGTGCTTACATGCAAGCAGGGAAAGGGACAGAGGAAGAGGGAGAGAGAATCCTCAGACAGATCCCTGCCCGCACAGAGCCCAACATGGGGCTCAGTCCCAGACCCTGAAATCATGACCTGAGCCCAAACAAGTCAGATGCTCAACTGACTGAGCCACCCTGGTGCCACCGCCCCCCACCCTGCCTTTTTTTTTTTTTTTTTTTTTTTTTTTAATATGAGCAGTATTTCGGGTACCTTTGTGCTCATGCATTTACTCCAGTAGAGGGAAAGCTGAAAATGGGAGAGAATTGCCTGAGTGATGCCCTTGAGTCAGCAAGAAGTCAGTCCCTGGATGCACAAAGGAGGGGCTGGCCTGAGGGAGGGGCCGAGGCAGGTTATTCATGGAAGTAGGAGGAAAGGCAGGTAGTGGTACAGGTGAGAACATGCAAAAGGTCTCTTTTGGTTGTTTCTGTTTTTTTCAGGAGGAAGGAAGGGAGGGAGAAAGGGGATGGAGGTGACGGGAGAGGAGGTGGGGGACAGAGGAAAGAAATGTCAGAGGTTGAGGAAAGAGGACTCAGTTTGAATTAGTCTGAGAATGGCATTGTTAATATATCATCTCTTCAGCCCCAACCTTACTGATAACAGTTGTGTGACTTTGGTAAGTCACTTTTGTTTGCTACACCTCCGTTTGTTTATGGAATGAGTAGTAACCCATCTCTTAAGGCTGTTGTGAGGACAAGTTGAGAAAACACCTAGCATTGTTCCCAACCCATAGTAGGTATTTAATAAAGGGTTATTCCTTTCCCAAGTGTAGCAATAAAACTGTTAGTAGATTATGCACAGAATAATACTTGTAATACTTAGAATACCATGAATACCCTTTTCAAATGTCTATTTAACATCTGTTGTCCTTATATATTCAGATTCTGGAATTGGAGAGTCAGGTGCCACATTTTTAAAAAGAATTAGATCTTTTTCTCCTGATTTGCCACTTCCGTCTATAGGGATTGATTGGATAAATTTATCCCACTAGTTTGTTGAAAAGATGGTTTTAGTCACGTTTTTCAAAAGTTCTAAGTCACCATTTCAGAGTTCTGTTTGATCTAAGTTCAGTTTGGCTGTACTTAAGAATGGAATGGGGTTGAACCTATTCATTGCGGATTTTAAGTTCTAAGATTGATTTTAAAAAAACTTTTTTTTTTAAGATTTTATTTATTTGACAGAGAGAGATCACAAGTAGAGAGAGAGTGAGAGAGAGGAGGAAGCAGGCTCCCTGCCTAGCAGAGAGCCTGATGTGGGACTCGATCCCAGGACCCCGAGATCATGACCTGAGCTGAAGGCAGAGGCTTAACCCACTGAGCCACCCAGGCAGCCCTGATTTTAAAATTTAATATGGAAATTTTCTAATATTTACGAAAATAAAAAGTGTAAAGTATAATAAATTTCCATGTACTTATCTAGCTACCACCTTAAATGATATTCAGATTAATATGGACACTTAAATGATCTTTGAGAAGATGTGGAACTAACTTGTCTTGATTTACTAATGAGTAAGAGCTAAAGATTCTGATTTAATAATAATTTGAATTCCTTCAATCATTAATTTATTCATTGATTCATGCAACAAAATTTATTGGGGGTTAGCTTTATTCATTAGTGCCTAATGGCTAAGAGCCTTGCCTGATTGCAAATCTCAGCTCTGCTACTTACTAGCTGTGTTGCCTAAGGCTAATCAAAGTATTCTAAGCTTCAGTTTCCACATTGGCAAAATTAAGATAATGCTAGTATCTACCTCATAGTTTGTTAGGTTTGTTAGGAGGAGTAATTGAGATACACTGGATTGCTCGGTAAATGTTAGCTGCTGTTATTATAGATATCATTTCTCATTTTCCTCCTCCTCCTCTTTGTCTTCCAGATTTTGTGCTAGGTGTCCCTGGAGAGTATGAGGGGATTAAGATGTAGACCTTCCCCTTGAAGAACTAGAATTCCAGAATCCCAGAGTATTCGAGCCAGGAGAGATTTTCAGGATTATCTAGTTGGGCAAGCCCAGAGAGCCTTAGTGAATTGCCCAGTATCACAACATCTTTAAGTGGCAAAGCCAGGCCAAAGCTCAGGTCCTTTAGTTGTGAAGGCTCTTGTGACAGAATGGCTGCTCTGTTGGCTTGACTGTGCCCCACTCCTCAAACCCCAGTCCTTCTAAATTGACAGTCCTGACCTGTTTTCAGGACTCTGCCTTTTCAGTGTGTAAACATCGAAGTACATGTGAGGCTTTTTGCACGTATTGGACCTGAATGTGCCCTGGACACTCTCTCCTTGAGATTCCAGGGAAGACTTGCTAGGAAAGGTAGACAGGCTGTCTCTCTGTGTAATCACAACGATGTTCTTATCTTCTTCTTGTATCACAGCCCAGGAGTTAAAGTCACTGTTTGAAAAAAAGTCCCTCAAAGAGAAACCTCCAAGTTCTGGAAAGCAGTCAATATTATCTGTACGGCTAGAGCAGTGCCCTCTGCAGCTGAATAACCCATTTAACGAGTATTCCAAATTTGATGGCAAGGTAAGTAAAAATAAAACGTTGTCTTTTTGAATAAAACCTCAGTTGTGTGGAATTGTTTTTGTTATTATTATTATTATTAGATTTAGGGCTTCAAAAACGACTCAATTATAGAATGTCATTCACATTTTCTATGACCGAGGATGTAAAAAGTTCTGAATTTGGGCTATATACTGTTTCCACAGCAGTATATTTGGAGGATTAAAACAAAAACAGTCTTGAGATATTTGTCCATGTACTCTTTTTCTGTGTTTCATCTTCCAAGTATACTTGAGGGTTTGGGTTGTTGGGTTGTGATGAATCAAGGCCTGATGGTGTTGGGAAAGCTTTGAAGGTGGTTCTGGGGAGACAGTTTGCATTGTTTTGGTCTGATTCTTTATTATAACTGTAGAAATTGTTGAGCTTAAAGCTTCATTTCAGATTTCTAGGCCATTGTTTTTATGTCAGTATTTCATTGTAGGGAATCTTGTTTGACACTCATTATGCGGGATGACTTTATTTTTTTCTGTTTGTTCTAACAATTTGCAGTTTAAAAATTAAAACATGTCTATTTTCCTTTTAGGAAAAGGGCCACCATTGTAGGCGGAGTATAGTCGCCCTTGCAGCACCCTCTCTCCCCACGCTCCCTGCCCTCTGTGTCTCTGTGCGGAGCTGAGCTGGGCTTCTTTGAGGAGACAGTAGCAGTTGATTTTTATATTTATTGCCATTATATTTGCTGTCTGGCAGTGGCTTGGAGGTGCTGAGTGATAGCTTGTTGCCTGGAGGGGTTGCGTACAATTTGTTTTATTTTAACACCACTGCAATTAATAAACATACAGGCTCGTTGCTTATGTTTCCATTTTTTCACATTTAACTTCTGGTTATGTGCTGGTTCTTTCAGTTGTCTGAGCAAGGAGGTGTTTTCTCTTCGAAACACTTCTACCTCATAAGGTTCCATATGAAGCATATATGGCTACAGACAAGTGAGGTTGTTGATGTTGGTGGGAAAGGAGAGCCAAGAACTGGAAACAAAATGTGGAAGTTCCATAAAGATACTAATATGCTCAGGAGTTGCCTCCAAAAAAATCTGAAAGGACTTTTAGTAAATGAGAGATTGTACTGATGTAAAGCCTCTCTTTAGCCTGCCCCTCCCACCACTCCTGTTTCTTGTGGAATGTAGCAAAGAGAAGGAAGTGTCCCCCTAGGGGACAGGAATGTCAGTCTCTGGAAAATGGAGAGTTGGACTGTAGGATTTGTTTTTAAATACTACAGTTGATTCATTTAGATATATATGTGTGAGCGTTATTATTGGAATTAGGTTACATGGCTGGAATATATTTGCTTCCTTTGTCTGATACCATCTCATTGTTTAAGGACATAATTGCTGGAATAATACTCTGTAAAAATACTTGATGCCGACAAAATAGCACAGATATTTTAAAATATTATGTCCTAGAATTCCTATTATACCACTAGATTTTATTTTATAAATTACTTAGCTTTGGATTTGAGAGAAAGTTGTAAGGTGTCTTTGGTATATATCTAACTTTCAAAGAGCCAGGGAGAAATTTAAAAAAAAAAAAAATGAAGCCATTTCCTTGGTCACAAAGGAATTATTTTTGCTAGCTGTGTTTACACTTAAGGCTCTCCATACTTTTGTCATATCAAATCTATTTGTAATCAGCAAAAGGTATATGCATGGAGCAGTCACCATTACACTTTGATTAAGAAAGATTTATATATCGATAAGTCTATCCCGTGATGCGATGCTATTTTATTATTAGCCTCCATATTACAAATGCTAAAATACAATTAAACTCTTGTTCTCATCTATTATTTAATATTGATGCGTTTGGCAGATATGTAATGAAAGTGGCTAATATTTGAAGGATATTGTACTGTACATATTAAATTAGTCTTTCTTTATCTTTGTGAAATGCATCAATATGATATTCAATGACATCTCAATGATTAATAGAGAATTACACTTGAGTCAAGCCTTTTTGTAACCTAGAAATTAAAATGACTATTCAAATAACACCTCAAAATGATCAAATTAGCATTTTGTGATTGCATAATAATGGGATTGTAGTAGTTATAACAGCGCCATGGCTGCCTCTAGAGTTAAGATCATGTCAACCCCTTGATAATAAAGCCTTTCTGTGAGAGTCGACTTTAATAATTTCCAGATTGATTCTTCCCATAAATCACTTGACGTTCAGCACTAAATTTTTGTTACTGTTGTAACTTAAAATTATTTTATTTTTATTCAGCTCATATTTAAGAAGTGAAATGAGTGTCCTGTTTTAATTATTCACCATCTTGTCATTGAACTCCATGCTTTTTGCTTCAAATATAAGGGTTTTTCGTGGACTTTGATAGTCCTTTTTTTTTTTTTTTTTCCTGTGAAGGTTTGTTAAAGCCACTAAAATATGTACAGAGTTTTCCTGTACAGATATTCACAATGCTTTTCTTGGGAATAACGCTTGCCTTATTTACATAATTAACTGAGTTGCTTAGGTCTCTTGGGCAAATGGTACATAATTGGGGAGAGAAGGGGATAGGGAAGAGTTTGGGGTCTAATTAAATATGCTAAAAAACTACTTAATTATGTATTTCCTCAAGAGACTGACTGCTGTGAAATCCTCCTTAAGATTAAACTAGCGTTAGATTTGAAAAAAGGATTTTGTTTTTGGTGTGGCTTTACAATTCATTGTAGGTAAGCCAGCATGTCTAGTGTCTTTAATGGTTTGTGCAAACTGGATTGTTGTTGGTTTTAGTGATTCTAAGGGTAAGCATCTTTTAGCTATTATGCTAAATTAAAGCAAATACTATTCAGATAGTGGTACCTGTAGCAGTTTAATAATTTCATTTTTTAAAAGTGTTGATTAATAATTTCTTAGAGGAATACAATTGAGAGAGAAAGACTGTGCTTAGGCATGTGCTTTGTTGTAATTTTAATAATTTTTTGGATCTGATTTATTATTATGTTTTCTTTAGTAAATTGGTGACCTGTGACCTGTTTTAGATTCATTGATTATTAGTAACTCTGTTTACTGATGATTTGAAAAAAGTCCAAAATAGATTGCAAGTGGCTTTAAGGAATGCTTGCTTGGTCGCACAAGGCAAAACCAGGCTCAGCCATCTGCCTGCATTCTTTGGGCTTGTTGAAAACAGGCCTCAAAAAGCTTAATTAAGGGGCGCCTGGGCGGCTCAGTGGGTTAGGCCGCTGCCTTCGGCTCAGGTCGTGATCTCAGGGTCCTGGGATCGAGTCCCGCGTCGGGCTCTCTGCTCAGCGGGGAGCCTGCTTCCCTCTCTCTCTCTCTCTCTGCCTGCCTCTCTGCCTACTTGTGATCTCTCTCTGTCAAACAAATAAATAAAATCTTTAAAAAAAAAAAAAAAGCTTAATTAACAAAATCTCTGTTCTAAAGATTGAGATAATCAGAAAACTTCTTGTGACAGTCCTTCTGATTTCACTGTATGTGGGATATATTGGGTTTGACAAGGAGTTGCTTTGAGGGAATGGGCTCATTCATGGTAAGTGAATACTCACTCAGCACTTACGTAAGTAGCCCCAGATACGTGAATTTCTGTCCTGTCTTTCTACCTGTTTCATATGAAGTCATGTTTTTGCAAGTATCTAACCCTTTCCATTCCATGCCTTATCACTTACTTGAGAAACTTTTGCTAGTACATCACCACTATTCTGGTTAAACTGAATTTGCAAATATTATCATCATTAGTAGACTGTTCAAATTTTATTTTATTTTATTTATTTACTTTCAAAAAGTATTTACTTGAGAGAGAGCAAGTGAGAAAGAGAGCATGGGTCGGGGTGGGCAGAGGGAGAGGAGGAAGCAGACTCCCTACTGAGCAGGGACCCCCCCCCCAACTTGGGGCTCAATCCCAGGACCCCGGGATCATGACCTGATGAAAGTAGACGCTTAACTAACTGAGACACTCAAGCGCCCCTTATTTTATTTTTGTAAGTAGGCTCCATGCCCAGCTTGGAGCCTGGTGCAGGGCTTGAACTCACACCCCTGAGATCAAGACCTGAGCTGCGATTAAGAGTCAGCAGCTTAACTGACTGAGCCATCCAGGCACCCCCATTAGAATTTTAAATATCCATTTCCTGTCAGTATAGTTACTAACAAAGAAATGATAATGATTATCGGTTTTGGCATCTTGGTCAGATTTTCCATCTCTCCAAACCTCAGTTTCTTTACCTATTAAAGAAATGAGAGTTCTTCCTCAAGGCTGATGAGACCATCAAATAGGATAATAGTAGGGTAGAGCACCTAGCACAGTGAGAAGCAATGTAATTTACTTTGTGACCTATTTTGTAGTAAGACCTGAGTTTGAATTTGGACCCTACCACTTGACAGTGTTGACCTCAGGCTAGTTACTTAACCTTATGAAGTGGTCCAGTCCTTGTATGTGGGTTGAGATGATGATAATGTTCTTTCTCATGAGGATTAATTGAGATAAGGTCTGTTTACCAAGACAGGTAGCACATAATGGGAAGCACTCAACAGATATCCCACTTCCGCCCCTCTCTGTAAAGGATGAGGGCTGGTGATGTCGTCCCTTCTTAATGTACTTCATTAGATATTGACAGGATCGAGTGAGAGAAAGTGTGTCTTGAATCCAGGAGTTCAGAATAGCATTGTTCAACAGGACGTGCAGCAGACTGGGTGAAGTTCTGCCTGAAGTCCAGCGAGTCCAGTGAGGCTTTGAGCTTTAACTTTAAATAGGAAGATTGAGTCAAGTAAGTACTTCTTCTTTTTTTTTTTTTTTTTTGGCTATGATTTTTTTTTTTTAAACATCGTAGAAGGTAGTTCAATATTAGTCATTGTTTGGTAGTTTACTAAAACGTGAAGTATTTCTTTGACTTCGCTAAATTCTACTCTAAATATAAGGAGAATGTTTGTCTTGAGTGCTTAAAAAAGCAGAACCCCTTCTTGTTCATATAGACAACCTTGACTGTGATTGTGTTAACTTATTAGAAAGTAACCATTTCTCTG